CCGCGTCCAGTGGCAGCTGCTTCGGTGTAAAGGGTGTGGGTGTGGCCGACAGGCCGGCCCAGCAGTGCCAGGATCCTTCCTAAAGCGGCCGGGGTTGGGTCAGGGCCGCCAAGAGCTGGGGGTCCCCAGGCCAGTGGAGTCCGGGTCCTCAGTCCCTCCAGGGGCCACCTGGTGGAACCGAGGCTGGGCTCTGGCTGACCCAGGGCTTTTCTGGAAGAGAAGGGGAGGGGTGAGGGGGCAGCCTCTTGGGGTGACCAGCTTGGGCCCTCCCTGCTGTCAGCCACGGGGGCTGCACTGAAGTTGCCGAAGGGGCCCTCACCCTGGTAGTTGTCGTGAGTCTGGGGGCGTGCTGGGCCCCAGTCCTGCTGAAACCTGCTCTTGAGCCCTGGTGACAGCACCGGAGCCCTCCACATGGACCATTCTCCTCCAGAGACCCAGGGCCGGCCCCTCCTGCAGCCTCGGGGCCAGAGGGCTGGGGTCTCTCCCTTCGCAGGGTAGCAGCCCCTCCCGCAGCCTTTGTGCCTGTGTGACCCCAGGGCCGCTGAGTGTGGGAACGGGGCTGGGGCTGCGGAGCACAAAGGCCGGGGAGGGGCGGGGTCAGCGGCCGCTGTGCCTCTTCCTGTCCGTCCCTCCGTCTGCAGTTGGTCATCAGGATAGAGGGAGAGTCTCTAGGCCCCAGGACTGGGCTGGGCACAGGCGCCCCAGCTGGCCCGTGGGTCTGGGCTCTGGCCCCCCGCGTACCGCAGGCCCCCAGGTTCTGGGTGTGGGCGCTAGGGCGGCGGCTGCCTGGAAGTCCCCTTGCATCCCCAGTCCCAAGGACCCTCTGCTTGCACCCCTCTCCCCTGCCAGAGACCAGCCTGGGCCGCCATCCACCTCCCTCCCGGGGCCCCTGCCCAACCCGGGGCCTCCTAGGCGCCCTGAGCCTGTGCCCCGAGGCTCAGCCTTCCCTAACTGCAGACCCCTCTCCCTCCTGGGGACCCTGCCGCCGGCTCTGCCCGCGAGTTCCTCGGGTCATCGTCCTCCAGGGTGCCCACTTCCGGGGCTGACGTCGCTGACCCGCTCCCACATGGGGGCCACAGCCGGCTCCCTACCGCAGTGGGGGAGGACCGGAGGGACAGTAAAAATAGACGTTACGCCTGGCCACGTCAGGGGTTCGTGCTTAGGCTTTTTTTTAACTTAAATTTCTTTGATAAAATATTTTCCCATGGTGGACGGCACTGGGAATGTCCTTTTGGCGGACGTTCCTGATGGACAATCCCAGGCCCAGGTCGCCAGCTTCAGGGCTCACAACAAGAGACCCACCGCCCCTCACCCTCCGGGCCCTGGGGCACAGGCGGGCCATCTCCCTGCCCCACAGAGGCCTCCCCACGTGGCTCCCGGCCTCGCAAGGTTCTCCATCCTCACAGGCTGACGCCCCAGAAAGTGGATCTGGGCGCCCAGGGCACAGGCCACGTGGAATGTCAGCACTGCTCGGGTCAGGTGCTGGGCGCTGGGGCGAGGCCACTCTCCTGTCCCCACTCACTTCCCACGTTGCGCCCCGATGCGCCAGCCCAGACAGCGGCAGCTCGCTCTGGGAACGCTCCACATGTCCAGGGGCTTTCCCTCTGGGAACAGCACCAAAATAGCAGAAGGAAGGAAAAGAGAATGGAAACAGCCTGGCGGCCTGAGCTCTCCAGGGAGGTGTCCAGCTCTGGCCTGGGCCAGGGGCAGCGGAGGCCTGGAGCCAGTGTCCGGGGTGCTCAGGCCCGCTGGGGGCACAGGGCAGGGCCCTCTCTGGTCAGCCCTAAGTGTGCTACTCTCTGCTGGCCAGTGGCCAGTGCCCTCTGATGCCCCAATGAGCTTATGTGCCAACCCCGCCCTCGCTGTGGCCTGTGGGGGCAGAGCAGGGGTCCATGGACAGAGCAGGGTCTCAGCCACATGGAGCCGGCCGGTCACTGTGCCAAGCCTCAGACCATCACCTCGGGCGTCCAGGCCGCACATTTTCTTCTCAGTGTCCCCCTGTGGGAGGGCCTGGGATCCACCTCAGCCGGCCCTGAGAACAGCTTCTCCCTGGGCATCGGGCTGGGAGAGGGGGCTGACAGCATGCAGTGTGGGTGGTCAGAGTGCCTGGCTGCTGCCCAGGCTGAGCTCCTGGGTTTCTGCTGGGAACGCCATGGCTGGGGGCTCGGGGAGCAGGTGGTGGGACCCTGGTGCAGACACAACTGAACTTGGCAGTGAGCCACCTCTGCTCACGGTGACCGGGTCTACGGCCTGAGAACCACGGTGGGGACCCCGGCCCCCCGCCTAAGCACTAACGCTACCAGTCCACTGACATGGAGCGAGCTCGGTCCTACCCTGACCAGGATGCCTCCGTGGTGACAAAGGCCTGGTTCAAATTTAGAAACCCTGGCTTCTCAGAGACCCCCTTATCTGCCGACTAGGCCCTGTCACACCAGCCTTTTGGGGTCCTTGTGCACATGCATGGACCCCCCAAACAGCTGTTTGCCACCCAGGGAGGGTCCTGCCCTGGGGCACACCCAGCCTGCTTTCCTCTGGAGCTGAGCTGGACAGCCTCGGGCCTCAGGGGCTCCCTGGGCCCTGGGGTCCCCCCTTCCTGACGAAGGCCCATCGAACGCTGGGCCTGGCCTCACACCTGTGCTCCCACCTGCCGCTGTGCAGCGGCTAGCCCCTCACTGTTGCCTCTGCTTCCTGCCAGGGCAGCCGCACGGCCCGAGCCGTGGACCCTGTCTCCATCCTTCTTACCAGCTGACCACGTGCGGAATGCATATTTACCGCAAAGAGGGATGGCGCTGGGCAGGGCCCCCAGCTGGGCAGTGAGCTGGGGGCTGAGACAGCCCATGATCCCCTTCCCCACGCACTGCCCTTGCCCAGAGGGCTTGGTGCTCCCAGGTGCTCCCAGACCTCGGAGAGCCCAGCCCCAGCGCCCTCCCTCCCCAGTGGCCAGCCAACAGCCCAAGCCCTAGGAGCCCAGGCACACCCTTGAATCGTATTCTGAATGCTCTGTCCCTCACCTGCCACAGCTGCCGCGCAGGCGCAAATCACCACCACCTCCCACCTGGACAGACGCAGCACCTGCTCCCAGGTCTCCCGCCTCCCCACCCTGTGATCAGGACACTCTGAGTCTGCGTGTCTCGTCTGTCATCCCCCCCCACCTCTCCCCCGCAGCCAGGACAGATCCCAACGCAGCCCCTCATGGGCAGCCTTCTGTCCTGGTGCGGCCAAAAGCTGCCCCTCTCCAGCTGGTGCGCTTGCTGGTCCCTGATCAGGGTGCAGCTCTGCCTCCCAGCCTTTGACTCAGCCTCACGCCGCCCCAGGCTCTCAATCAGCCAGAGTCCTGCAGCCTGCCCTCCCTCGGGGCAGGGCAGGAGCTCCTTTGGCCTGGGGGCTGCAGCCGAGGTGGGGTGGTGCAGCAGCATGGGGATGCTGGTGGCAGGGCCCAGAGGCAGAACCCACGTGGGGCGGGGTGGGGGCAGCAAGGCCTGGATGCTTTCCTCGCACAGGGGCGCAGCGGCCGCCTCTGCGCCTGGCTCTCGTGAGTCTGAAGGAGCATCAGGCTGCTCCCCAGTACGTGGCTTCCCGGGGTGCAGTGGGGGTTTCCTCCCAGCTACCCACCTTCCTGTTTTCTTAAGAAAACGCAGCAGCAGAGCCTCTGAAAAGCTCATTAAGATGCCTCCCAAGAGTCCCGGACGTCCTGGGGTCTTTACAACACTTGTGGCCTGAGGACAGACAAAGAGACGGCAGACAGGTTCCTGCCTCCCAGAGCTCAACGCTAAGGAATAGGCCCCGAGTGAGCTTCCTGCCATCCGTCCTGGCAGGGCAAGGGGCCCGGGGGTCTGCACAGACTGTACCCCAGGCTGGACAGCGGGGACCTGGCCCGAAAATGGCGTTCTCCTGCCTCCTTCCTCCCTCACGTTCTGCTGGGGCCGGCCCTGAGGGCACTGGATGCAGAAGTGTGGCCAAGGCAGCAAAACTCAGATGGAGGTGGAGACTGCAGAGCTGCTACTGGGCCTGAGGGCGGCGTTCGGCCCCATGTGCCCCAGAAGGGGGTGTTTGGGCCCCACGTGCCCTGGACGGGGCCGACCTCTCCTCCAGCACCCAGAGGTGAGGCTGAGCTGCCACCAAACAGCTGGGCTTAGAGCGCTGCTCCCCATGCAACATGCTCGTCGAGGCTTGAACTCCAGAATGTTCTGAGAATAGCCGGTGCTCTGCACCAGGAGCCACCACAGCGTGCCAGGACTGGCCCACGGCCCTCTGCCTGCTATACCCAGCAGAGACCCCAACACCAAGGCAGCCACGCCCCAGCCTGGCAGGGCCAGGCACAAAGGCCATATCATGTCCCCCTCAGCCCGACAGAGTGGGGACTCCAGTGCCCCAAGGCCAGCAGGGGAGGGAGAGGAGTGTGGCCCCTCCCCAGCGTGAGTCAGCAAATGGCGCCCTGGCTCCAGACCCCTTGTGAATCTTAACCCTGGACATGGCTGCCCCCATCTGAGGATTTCCTCGCCCTGACCTTTCAAGACAGCAGGGTGGACCCAGTGGCCGTCTGGGCTTCTGGACGCCGCCCTGGGAAAATGGGACCCCCCCAGCCAGATGTGACTTCTACGGGTTCCCTTTACTCCATCCGGAAGCCCACGGAAGGCCAGGCCTGGGTGCAGGAGGAAATTCCCCAAATCTAAACCGACACCCCATCTGAGCTGCTCCCTCAGCCCACAGCCGCCCGCCTTGGCCGTCCTGGCCTGACACTCTGCCACCTCCCGGCCCCAGACTGCGGTGCCCCTGCCATGCGTGTGGGTGTCTGGGGTGGGGGTAGGTGGAGGAGGAGAAAAGGCCACAGATTAGGCAGTGGCTACTGCTTGGATGAGCAGAAGCCCCAAGGCACATGGCCTTTACTGTCCGGCGCTGGCCAGGGACATGCTGGGCCTCACCTGTCACAGAGGTGGTTCCCTGGCAGCCCTGGGGCTCACACACTGGCCTGAGGCAGGCCTGGGGCATGTGGGACCCACCTGGCAACGACTGAAGATATCGGCGTGTGTGACGCGCACGTTGAAATGCCTGAGAACAGCCTTCGCCTGCTGCCGGGCCTTGAGGGAGCAGTCCACCGAGAGGCAGTGCCCAGCCCTGACCTGGGCCCGGAGCTAGAGAGATGCAGCTGCTGAGTGGTGGGCACAGAACCCAGAACCTGCCCAGGCCCACCCACCTTCCCCAGCTCAGGGGCCCAGAGCCTCCCCTCGGCCCACCCAGGTCGGGCAATGGTGCCAGGTCAGCCCCGGCTCCCATCGGCCCATGGCAAGCAGAGCCAAAGGTGAGGGTGCCGGAGGGGCTGGGCTGACGCCACCTCGGGAAGATGAGGCTCAGATGTCAGCTGTCTGCGGGGTCCTCACCTTGTGGTACGGCAGCCCCGATGTCAGGATGATCCTTCCATCCTGCCTGGCGACCTGTGCCGGAGGGAAGACCGACAGGTGAGGGGGGCATGCTAGCTCCCGGAACTGGGGCCGCTTCTACCCCTCCCTTCCCAGGCCCCTCCCTGTCCCCCAGAGCTGCCTCTGCCTGGGACCCGAGCAGCCATCAGATTCCTGCAGCCTGAGCCCTGGGCATCACCTTGTTTTACAGATTTGGTCTTAGAATCATGCAAATATTTTATATACTTGCAAACAAAATTAAATATAAAAAGCAATCTCTAAAAATCCAAAGAGGATGAAACAAATAAACCACAAAGAAAGCAGTATTCCAAGTGACATGAAAACGCAGTAAATTGACCATTTATCTCGAGGGTGCTACACTACAGACCAAAGAGGAGAAACACCCTGCTATAATGCGGTGGTTGGTGATAATATTGATGCTGTTATTCTGAAACGTTCGTGTATGAATTGTGACATAAAACACAGAAAATGCTGGTGTTGTGAGTGTTAGGATTTTCAGCTGAGAGAAAGGAGATATAGGCTAAAATTAAGGAGACTACACAATAAACCCCAGATCTGAACAGAAAGCTTCAGTATGAATGTCTGATGTTTATTATATATATATATATTTAAAAGTATTTCATCACTCTGACCACCACAAAGGCCTAGAAGCAAGAACCAACCCTGTAGCTGTGAGCACCCTGTGCCCAGATTGGTTTCTAAATAGGTTTCACGCTAAAGGGAACCAGGGCTTCTTAAAGAAATAGCTGATCCCAGGTTTGAGGCAGAAAATGCACACACTGAAGCTGGAATGTCTCATCATATCAGAAAGCAAAGAAGTTATCAGAGTTTACAAGTGTCCTGTCAAAAGGACTCAGGATCCAGTGAAAGCTCCCACATGCCACAGGGGGGCAAAGTACACATCAATGAGGTGACAGCTGCGATGGGTAGAAATGTGAAACACAGCCATGTCGATGTGCTCAGCATGGTTCCTTAAAAATCATGAGTTATCTTTGGAGCATGCAAGGTGCCAACTCGAAAACATAACAGCTAAAACTACAAAACTCTTAAGAGAAAACTGGAAAATGTCATGACATTTGGTAATTTCTTGGATATGGCACCAAAAGCAAAGACAACAAAATTAAAAATAGATAAATTGGACTTCATCAAAATTAAAAACTTTTGTACATTGTAGGACACCATCAAGAAAGTGAAAAGACAACCCACAGAATGGGAAAACATATTTGCAAATAATATATCTGATCAGGGATTAATATCCAGAATATATGGGGAGCTCCTAAAACTCAACAACAAAAAAGCAAATAACCCAACTGAAAAACGGGCAAAGGACTTGAATAGATGTTTCTCCAAAGAAGATACACACATGGCCAAAAAGCCCATGAAAAGATGCTTCGTATCATTAGTCATTAGGGAAATGCAGATCAAAACCACCATCAGATGCAAGTTCACACCCCTTAGGATGGCTTTTATTTTTTTTTAAGAAAGAAAAATAAGCGTTGATGAAGATATAGAAAAATTGGAGCCCTCGTGTATTGCTGGTGGGAAAGTAAAATGGTGCAGCTGTTGTAGAAATGACTATGACAGTTTCTCAAAAACTTAAACATAGAATTACCACATGATTCAGCAGTCCCACTTCTAGGAATGTACCCAAAAGAACTGAAAGCAGAGGGGCCAGCCCCATGGCCTAGTGGTTAAGTTTGGTGCCCTCCACTTTGACAGCCCAGGTTCAGTTCCCAGGTGCGGAACCACAGCACTCGTCGGCAGCCATGCTGTGGGAGTGACCCACATACAAAATAGAGGAAGACTGGCACAGATGTTAGCTCAGGGCAAATCTTCCTCAGGGAAAAAAAAAAAGAGTTGAAAGCAGAAACTTGTACACCAAGGTACATAGTACCATTATTCACAATAGCCAAATGGTGAAACCCAAGTGTCCATCAACCAATGAGTGGGTAAACAAACAAAAATACACAAACACACACACATACATACAATGGAATTTATTTAGCTTTAAAAAGGAAGGAAATCCTGACACATGCTACAACATGGATGAACTCTGAAGACTCTACACTCAGTGAAATAAGCCAGACACAAAAGGACAAATGTGGTCTGAGTCCACTTCCATGAGGACCTAGAGGAGTCACTGCACAGAGAGAAAGTGGGACACTGGTTCCCAGGGGCCGGGCAGGAGATGGAGAACGACTGCTCAAAGGGTGCAGAGTTTTTGTTTGGGATGATGAAAAAGTTCTGGAAATAGACAGTGGTGATGGTTACACAACACTGTGAATGTACTTAATGCCACTGAATTGTACATTGAAATATGGTTAAAATGATAAATTTTATGTTATTTTACCATAAAAAAAGTAAGAAAAAAAGCAATAAACCAAGTGGTTACTGCATAGTGATAACAAATATACACCTATGTGATGAATGAAAAACAAAATTAAAAACAAACAAACATAACTGAAGTAAATATAAGGAAAGAACCAAACGAAAGGGCAGTCAAGAGAAAAAGCAGACCAGCTACCCAGAAATGACAAAGGACTGGTGACAGCGTCTCAACAGCAACAGCGGATGCCAAAAAATGCTGGGCTATTTTCAAAGTTCTGTCAAACTACAATTATAAACCCAGCAACACTTTCCTTCAGGAGACAGAAGAAATAGAGATTTTTCAGGGAAAAATGGCCCCAATGAAAGGACATAGCAAAGGAAGTTCTTTTAGCAAGAAAGAGCTTGCTTTCTCTTGAAACAAGGTCTGTCATGCATGTGCATGTCCATACATCATAAACTCTAAAAGCCATCGAATACATAAAACAAATATGATAATGTCTAATTTGTAGAATTATGAAAAATCACATGGTGTTACGGTACTGGAAAATAATATCAGGTAAGATGGGAAGGGGGTGAGAAAGCTAAATTGACCTAAGATCCCTATAGTAGTCCTACAACTATTAAATAAAAAAGAATCAGCACTAGAAGCTCCTGCTCCCAAAACATCGGGCCCAGGAAGCCTTGCAGGAAGTCAGCCGACATTTGAAGAGAAGATAATCTAGATGTTACTCAAAATTGCAGAAAACAGGAAAGAAGAAAAACTCCCAACTTTTGAGGCTAGAACTAGACATTAACTCAAATATGCATGTTAAAATTTCTAGGGTAACCCCTAAAAGAACAGAAATAGAATTTGTAACTTTGAAACTAATATAGGGAAAAATAGAACAAGGGTAAAGAAGTCAAAAGAATATAAGAAACAAAAGGGAAAAGGAACAGAAAAAGTAGGATGAATATAAAGCAGAAATTAGGGCAGTACAACTAGACCCAAATTACACCTGTAATTACATTAAATGTAAATGGACTAAACTAATTAGTTGAAAAGCAAAGACTGTCAGACTAGAGTTTTTAAAAATCTAGCCAGAAGCAGTTTATATGAAATACACCTAATATATAAGAGTAAAGGGAGGTTGCAAGTGGAAAGGTGAGAAAATGATGCACAAACATGAACAAAAGGACCCTGGAGAAATGGTCCTGCTGTAAGTTCAAATAGCCTTTATGGCAGAGAGCTTTACTAGAGCCAAAGAGGTTCACCTCATGATTGCAGAAGATTTCACTCAATGGAAAGATAAAAGAATTCTAAAAATTGTATGCATATGCACCTAATAACATAAAACATGTAAAGCAAATACTGACATGACTACAAGGAGAATTTAATGACTCTATCACCACAGGAGAATTCAGTACAGCTCTCTCAGTCTTTGATAGAATCAAGCAGAAAAATAATCAAATAAGATACAGATGATTTGAGGTGTGTGTGTGAGAGAGAGGGAAATGAACATGACTGGAGGAAAATATGTATTCTTTTAAAGTCCACATGGAACATTTAGAAAAAGGATCATCTACTTGGCTACAAAGCAAGTCTTCACAAATATCTAAATAGGCAGTATACAGACTATGCTCCTTGACTACAATTCAGTTAGGTTAGAAATCCATTTTAAAAAGATAACTAGAAAGCTCCAAAACTGCAAGCTTTCTGAAATTGAAAAACAGCCTTCTAAAGAACTCTTAAGTCAAATAAGTAATTATAATGGACACTCAAAAATTACTAGAACTAAAAAATAATGAAAACACTATATATCAAAACTGATGGAATGCAGTGAAAACAGTACTTCGAGAAAAATTTACGGTCTTGAATGTTTACATCGTAAAATTTAAAAGGCTGAAAATTAAAGAGCTAAGCACTCCACTTGGAAATAACCCCAGGAAAGCAAAAGGAAGGAAACTATAAAGATAAGAATAGAAATTAATGAGCTAGAAAACAAAAATGCAACAGAGAGGATCAGCAAAGCCAAATACTGGTTACTTGAAAAGACTTTCTAAATTGACAGTCTCTGTGAGATCAGGAAGAAAGCCGGGCACATGTAAGCAGCAATGAGAGTAGAGCGAGAACAGAGCTGCAGATACAGAAGAGCTTTAACATAGAAGATCAACAACTCTATGTATCACAAACATTGGATGAAATGGACACATTCCAGAAAAAGATATAAATTTATTATATCTTTCTGAGTCACCAAAAGTGACTCAAGAAGATGCAGACAACTAAGTAGTCCTACAACTATTAAAGAAAAAGGAATCAGCACCAGAAACTCCTGCCCCCAAAACATCGGGCCCAGGAAGCCTTGCAGGAAGTCAGCCAACATTTGAGGAAAAGATAATCTAGACGTTACTCAAAATTGCAGAAAACAGGAAAGGGGAAAAACTCCCAACTTATGAGGCTAGAAAAGACAATGATGAGAAAGAAAGATCTATGTCAGATGCACTCCTGAAGATAGACCCAAACTTCCCAAACAAGAATCACAAACTGAAGCCAGGAATATGCTTGGCCGAGTTGGGTTCAACCCAAAAATGCAAGGTTAGTTCCAAATTAAAAATGTTAATAATGTCATTCATCACATTAAAGGGAAAAAACCTCCATGATTATCTCAATAGCTGCAGAGAAGGCATTAGGTGGAATCCAGTCTCTTTCA